AAATGTAATACAAGATTCCTTATAAGATTATCTACCTTTATCAAAAAAAAAAATGTCTATAAAAAAAGTCAAATTAAATTTTTATGAGCGTTTGAAAATCAAATTTTTACAACATTGGAAATTCACTCGATTTCTCATGTAGCGATTTCCTTATTTTGTTGTAATTCAAAAACGAATAACTGTAGATACATGGAAATTTCAGTATTGCAGTTGAATCGGTTCCAAACTTCCATGGCATGATTATAGTGCTCATTTGATATGTGTTCTTCTGTTAGGTAGTGAATTATAAAAATATTCTTTTGGTGGTAGATTAGTTTCATTTATTTTTTCCCAACTATCCGTATACTCGTACTTATAGAAATCTTTCCTAGTCACTAAGTCTAAATCATTTAGGCCAAATATTTTTTTAGTTTCTCTAAACTTTGACATATCGCTTCGTGCTAAATTAGTAGCAAGGTTTCTAATTTAGATGCCATGAAACGATATGTGTCGACAAATCTTATTTTGAATGTGTTAGAAATATACTTCGTAAATGATATAAATTTTTCTTCAGTATTAGGTATTACATTTATCGATTGGGTGTCATAACCTAGTTGTGTAATAAGAAAGTGTAAGTCATAGCCGGATAAGTTGTGAAAAAAACACGGAACGAATTTAGGTTGTTGCATTTTTAAGTTACAATTATTACAAACTGCAGTATGTTAGTACTCCCCAGTTAAATGATTATGATCACGTACAGGTAAATTATTTTCATTAAATTTTGATTTGCAATATGGACATGTCTCTAGATCTGTAGTATTTCTGTGTGTTTTATTGTTCTCCATAGTCATTGTAAGGGGTACATTAGTTTGTAATAATTTTTCTATGTTCTTAGCTACCTCCACAATGTCCTAAATGAACCTCTTTGCAACATCTCCTTTGCCCAAACTAGAATCTCCTCTGAACATTACTGGTTCGATTGAAATATTATATTTATTCAGTAATTCAATTGGAAAATCTTCAGAAGGTTTTATATAGTAACAATAAGTAATAACTCATCAAGTCATGATCATGAATTATACAGGTATTTCTTGTATTATTGGAATTATTTTGTTTAACTAGACGAGATTCAAAATCAGCGTATGAAACAAATGGGTGTTTTTGTGTCCGTTCATAATTTTCAAACTTCATGAACGTGTTTGGTTGAGGCATTATGCGCCGTAGAGGTTTGTTTTTGTTGCATAACAGCTTATGGTCAGCCAGCCGTTGTTCAACACTAGTATCACCTACCTCCGCCGTGTAGCCCTTAAAACATCTTTTACATATTGCAGCACAGCTCGTATGTAGTGTAATCTGTGATCGTACTAGCGTTGAAAGACTCGTAATCTTACAATAATGTTGTTTACCGTCTCCAAATAATAATAAGTCGTGGTGGTCCTCGAGGTCCTCTTCACACACTTTTATCGGGTAAACAATATATTGAACAGATTTCTTGTTACAACGTTTGGCTCTTGAAATATTAGCTGTTTGTATATAATTTTTATAGCTGATTTTCCCCCGTTTGAGGCTATATACGTTGATTGAAACGTTAGGATTACGAGCTTCAAATTTATGTTTTATGTCTTTCACTTGAACAGGGTAGCTTAAATTTGAAAAATCATACATGTTTTCTATTTGATCAAAATGCTGTCCTACTCGGCATGCACTACTAGCGTTTAAGTGTTATGCTAAAACGCTGTACTTAAAACACTTTTCGTCCGTGTTTTTAGTGTTTACTATAGCTTTTTTCTTTTCAATATAATCCGGCAGTTTAATATAAGACGAACCTCCTAGAGGCGTATACCTATTTATATTAAGTAAAATACCATAAATGGATATGATAGTGTATCCTCTCCCTTTTAATTTCATATCGTTTTCTTCTTGAATGATTTTTATGAAATGTTGATCTAATTTGTCGTCTATGTTACAGCTTAAATACAGAGGTAAACATTTAGTTTTAAATGCCCTATTTGATGTAATGTTTGTATGTGGTATACCATACGTTGCCTCTACTGTTATACTATATTTTATGGGACCCGACAGGATTTCAGCTGCTAATAGATATTTTATTTGAGGTTTTAACAATTTCAAATAAACGTTATAATCCTTTATATTTTTATTGTTCTTTTTAAAATATTCATTACTAAGTCCGTTAAACGCTGACCCAACTTTAACAAAACCAGACGCTGAAGCTTTATAATTATCCATATGTTTGAGTTTATTTGAACCATTGGTGTTTGTTTGATTGGAATCAATACCTACAAATATATAATCATTAGCTAAAAGTGAATTTCTAAATAACTTGCTAATGTAAAGAAATCATACCTTTATCACAGATGATGTCAATTTCTCTTTCTTCGACACTATTACCACATACATTTTCAGAATTTTCGTCGCTGGATGTCGGAGCATTGTTTGGTACGAATATATTTGGAGCGATCTCGATTAAATCGTCCTGATGATTTGACATGCGTACTGATTTATGATTATCATGTACAATATCTAAAATAAAATTACCGACTAAACTAAAAAAAAAAAAAATGTCATTAAACTTGAACAATTACCTTTTCCGGGTTCAGAATAACTGTCTAATGCTTGAACCAATTCATTTTCATCAATACTATTGCTCCATAAAGAATCTACGTTTGATGTTATTTTACTTCGTTTGCTACTAGATTCACAGTCCTCCGTAAACTTATCTAGTGTTCGAGCCATTTCCACTTCGTCAATTTCATTGTCCCATACATTTTCATCATTTTTTGGTGGTATGAAATCAACTTTAAGACGAGCAATGCCTATAATATATATGTAGCTATAAATATTACACTAAAAATAAACGATTTAAATAATATATTTACGATGGATATTTTTTTTTTTTTATGACGATTGCAGTCAAACTTGTAGTTGAAAGTTTTTGGACATTTTTCGCACATAAATTTAACATTTGTATGCTTATTTAAATGCCTCTTTAATGAGTCTTTTCGAGTATAAGTCGCACTACAATTTTCACAGTTCACCATTTGAACGAAAAAAAAAAAAACACGGAGCGTTTCATAATAAACGAAAAAATAAAAACACGGATCGTCGAGCGAAGACGTTGTTGCAGTAGAAATGCAAATCAACTAATGGACGCTCTACCGCCCGTTGGTTATGTAAGTACCCTGACAAAAATAAAAAAATGTATAATAGACTACCACTTACATATGATGTATTTGCATTAAACGTGAGTAAAATCGGGTAATATAAAACGTATGTATTTCTAAAAGATCGAAATTAACAAATGTCACACATATGGTCAGCACATTGTTTTTATACTATAACCATGTACATTTGGTTGTGTACACTGAACCCCTTAAAACGCAATTATTACAAAACAAGTATCGGATAACGTAATATAAAGAAAGACTATCATCCGTTGCGGCCGACGGTCACGGCACACACATCGGTTCAAATAATGTAAACGAAAGGGACCACTGTAATGTTTTTTGTTTATATTACTGAGAGTATACATCATGCGCGTACTAATCTTATCTTTGTAAAATGATAAAAAAAAAAAAAAATTATTTTCCCTGATATAATCCTAATATTCTATTGTATGACTATGACATTTACTCACCGTAAATACTTTTCTCATGTCTTCTGAGAGCATCCTTTCTGCTAAAAAAAGTGTTGCAAATAAAACACTTAATTTGTTTAGTGTTATTGTGACTCTTTAAATGCCGGTTTAAAGCGTCTTTCCGCGAGAAAACAGATACACACTGATCGCACTTAAACATTTTTAATATGTGCACAAAATATAACGATATACACACTCAAATGACTGTCAGATCGTTACTAACGCATCTGACAATGGCCACGCCGAATAATAATAATAATTTTTGCACACATTTCAAAATTTAACGTTTCAAAGATTTTTGCTTAAATGCTGTCTTAGCAGTTTCATACCTCCCTCCCCGTATGACGATGTATTTTTTCTCTCAAACACAATACCCATGATAAATATCAGTGTACTGTTAATGCACTTAATATACAGATATATCATAATATTACATAAATTTAACTAGTTATACTTTAATATTACAAATTACAATAATTTAGTTAAAATAAAAACTGCTGATGTCTTGCTATTGTTTTTGCTAACCTTATATTTAATTACATATTAGTTAATTATATTTATATTTTCCTAAAATGGGTTTTATAATTATATTGTTTTGATAAAATTTAATTTTTACAATTACATTAATTTTTGTTTAAAGTAATATTTAGAAAAATTATTCAAGGGACTTGATAAAATGTATAGGATTCTCGAAGCCCCCCTGGATTTTTTTATCAATGTTTTCGGTAACTTTCTTATTCTTTCTTCGTTGTTGGTGTTTGTTCTCGGGTTGTTCCCCGTTTTCAATTTTTTTTATGTTTCCTTTCGCGTTTTTTATTGCTTCGTGTAGTTTTTTAATTTTTGTACTCTGTGCGAATCTTTCGATGTCGTTCATCTGTAAATATTTATGAATATTTAGTGTAAGGTATATGTGTATGTGTGTGTTGTTTTTTTTTATATACAATATTAACCTGAGCTGTGTATATTTAGTTTTATTTTGTATAATCTTTTTCCCTGTAGTTAATATAACTGTATTTGTGAAATCTGATGTTTCAGCAATGACCTGAGCGTGTGTGTTTTTTTTTTATATATGTTTTCAGTTGCGATTTGCACCTTGTCCGTTACACACGTATGTTGTACGCTCCTATAATTGTTTTGATCCCGTTATCATTTCGTGTTCGAATTCGTCAAGTTTACTACCAAAAAATTCAAAATCGCCTAGTTTATAATAATATATAACTTATAAAAGTGCAAATGCTCAATGCGCGTCGTTTTCAAAATGTTAAAATAAAAATTGTGCGTTTAAAACCAATCAATTACCGTTTATGCAGCATCTTTCGTCGCGTATCGCTGCAACGTGCACGAAGACCTTTACTCTCAAGATAATATGCCGCGGCTTCCTAATCTGCCATTGAAACAGAAAAATAAAAATAAAAATAATAATAATACACAATCTACTCATTTAAACACAACTAATGATCATGAAGACGTTATCGAAAACATAGATGACGATTCGACTAGTTGGACTTTGGTCCAACCAACAAAGGATGGTAAACTTTGTCATTCTAGCTCTTCCGAACAAAACTCTCCGCAAACTCCGTTGAATAAAAATAAAAAGTTTTTTTTTTCCGCAAATCGTTACGAAGTTTTATCATCAAATGATCACGAGCCAATACTCCCAACGACCGATTCAACTAATAATAGTTATAAAAAACCTGATGCATCCCTTAACGTTGAACCTAAGACCGCTTGACCCCCACCAATATTCTTAAGACTACTACATGTTACTTTTACTGATCTGTGTCATTGAGATAATTGGTGTCGACAATTTTCACTGTAAAGCTCTAGCAGACCGCCTCAAAATAATAACAACCAATCCAGACTCATACAGAACGCTGGTCCGCTTCTTAAGAGAAGAAAAAGCTCAATTTCATACCTATTAGCTCAAAGATGATAAACCAACGCGTGTTGTCATTCGCAATCTTCATCCAACTACTCCGCCGGAGTTAATCAAATCCGAGCTCGAACAACGTCTTTTTGAAGTCAGACAGGTCTCAGCCGTCCTACACAAAGTAAATAAAAATCCACTACCACTGTTCTTTGTGGACCTCGAACCAACCAGCCAATCCAACGACATCTTCCAACTCACGTCACTTCTCCACACAAAAATAAAGGTGGAGGAACCTTATAAGCCTAAAACTATTAGCCAATGCACTAATTGCCAAGTATACGGACATACTAAATCGTATTGTGGCTATCCAGCTCGTTGTGTTCGCTGTGGTGGTCATCATTTATCAGCTGACTGTCCGAACACCCGTGATGCCCCACCCAAGTGCGCTCTCTGCTCTGGCGATCATCCATCTAACTACAAAGGCTGTACCATCTATAAAGATCTACAACGAAGAAAAAATCCAAAATCAAGTAATCACTTATATAATAATTTTAGCTATAAAAATACCTATGTACAAGATACCCACACAGTGAAAGCCTCCACAATACACCCTTCACAGTTGACTCCTACCTACGCCCAAGCTACTTCAAATTCTCATTCCAATCATACGGTACCTTCACCTGCTCCAGACACTAACAAAATAATGTCAACCTTCATTGACGAGTTTAAACAATTAATTAATCCTCTAATCGCCCTACTAACCAAAGTAATCACAAAACTTCTAGATTAAAAACATGTCATCTCCTACAAGTAACTCACTTCTAATTCTCCTATTTAATGCTAACGACCTCAAAAATCACCAAAATGAACTACAGGTAGTACTACAAGAAAAACGTATTGATGCTGCTCTAATATCTGAAACGCACTTCACAAAATATTCCCATATTCCCATAGCTGGGTATAATCTACTAAAAACCAACCACCCAGATAATACTGCGCATGGAGGTGCTGCAATTTATATTAAAACCTCCCTGGTATACCAAGCCCTTCCTAACTTCTGTCAACAAAATGTACAGTCTTGTGCCATATTAATGTACCTCAACAACGTACCAACCACAATATCTGCAATATATTCTCCACCACGATATAATATGAACTTTCAAAATTACGCTGATTACTTTAGCACACTTAGCCATAATTTTATTATAGGCGGTGACTATAATGCCAAACATCAAAGCTGGGGCTGCCGCACAAACAACCCAAGAGGTAATGTACTTCACAATTGCATAACTAAGAAATGCTACAAAGCTCTTACTCCCCCTGGACCAACCTATTGGCCAACCTCACTTCGCAAAAAAACCGATATACTTGACATTTTTGTTTCCAACACTCCAAGCAACATTTACTATACGATTAGTAACCTGCTTGAACCTAGTTCGGACCATTCTGCTGTCCTTTTAACTGTTAGTGCTGCTCCTCCAATTTGTTCCTATCCACCAAAGCTTTTCCACTCCACCACTGATAAGCAAAAATTCCATGACTTGTTTAATCGAAACATTAACCTTAAAATTAGTCTTAAAACCACCCAAGAAATTGATGATGCCATTAATAATTTCAAGAATGTTATTTAAACTGCAGCATGGGATGCTAGCACTTCACACAAGCAGCACTCTAACCATTCCCCTTCGATCCCTGAATATATTCGCATATTAATAGCTAACAAACGCAGAGCAAGGGCCCTATATCAACGATATCGCCTCCCATCTCTCAAGCGTAATTTCAACAACCTGGCAAACCCTCTAAAAAAAATTCTTTCGAGTCACAAAAATCAAGCACAAACTAACTACCTAGCTTCTACAGACGCTGATAAAGCTGAATTGTTAAAAAATCACCTAGCAACAATTTTCACGCCACATTCTGATATACAAATTCCCCATCACACAGCTTTAGTTAACAGATTTCTTGACAGCTCACTTCCACCTACTCTTCCATCGAAATTTTTTACTCCCAACGATATTAAAAATGCAATTCAAAACTACAGCCTTAAGAAATCCCCAGGTTATGATCTAATAACTGCGGAAGTTGCCAAATGCCTCCCAAAAAGAGCAATTGTCCTGCTAACGGTCCTGATAAATGCCTCCCTAAGATTAGCTTACTTCCCGCAACTTTGGAAATTTTCAATAATAACTGTATTTCCAAAACCAAAAAAACCACTTGATATTCTCTCTTCATATCGACCTATAAGTCTTTTGCCCTTTTTCGCAAAAATTTTTGAAAGGCTTATTCTTAAAAGAATTTTGCCATACATTTTTTCAAACAACATAATTCCGAACACGCAATTTGGCTTTCGTGCCTCTCATGCCACAACTCATCATTTGCATAGACTAGTCGACGCCATTTCGTTCTCTCTCGAAAAGAAAAATACTGCTCGTGCGTGTTCCTTGATATCTCACAAGCCTTTGACAGGGTTTTGCATGAAGAGCTACTATTTAAGCTAAAAGCTTTTCTTCCCACAACAATTTCTTACTCATTAAATCTTACCTCACGGATCGCCACTTCCAAGTCAAGTTTGGCTCTTCCTTTTCAAATATTGAAAAAATTAGCGCAGGAGTCCCTCAAGGTGGCATTCTTTCACCTATACTATACAATGTATATGCAACAGACCAACCTACCTATCCAACAACATCTGTAGCTGAATTTGCTGATGATAAGGCAATTATATCAGTACATGAAGACCCTTACATTGCTTCTTTAAACCTTCAAAACCACCTTGACCTAATGTCTGTCTGGTATGTTAAATGGCGAGTTCAAGTCAACCAATCAAAATCCATTCATACTACATTCACTCTTCGTCTCCCTCCCTGCCCAGAAGTCTTTCTTAACAACATACCAATCCCATCATCCCAATCGGTTAAGTACTTAGGCCTAACCTTTGACCGTCGCCTGACCTGGGGACCTCATATCAAAACTAAAAAACTCGCCCTAAACGAACGACTACGCTCAGTTAAACCACTAATATCTAACAAGCACACTAAACTAAAAACCATACTTCTTATATATAAATCATTAATCAAGCCCATGTGGACTTATGGCCTACAACTATGGGGCAGTGCAAAAAACTATTTTTTTAAAACATAAGTCTTCGTGATTGGGTCCATATTAAATAAACTGGCCAAAAAGAAATTATTGAGATGTCTCCCGGAAGATCTGTACCACAATACTGATTTCAACACACAAATAAAATAAAATCAAGCTAGGTTTACACTAAATAAAAAAAAAACAAGAGCTACAAACATATGATTCTAGAACGCCAACAACAAATTTGGCCACAGTATGCATTTATATAATAATAATAAAAAAAAAAACACACGCACATCAAACAACCGTGGGATCACCGACAAGAGACGTAAGTATAACATAGTACAAGCGTTTATAAAGTAATAAGACAATTGTATGTAGAAACATCATTAAAAAAGAAGGCTATTTTTTCAAAAAACAATGGGGACTGTCTATAATATACGATAATATACATAGATAACATGGAGTTAAACAAATGCATACATATGCAAGAGTATTATTTTTGTTCGAACACTCAGACGCACTATATTCAAGAAACGGATAATTGTGAACAAAATTATTTAGTAGTCAGGATAAGGAAATGATTCCAAAAGCATGTGAAATAAAAATTACATGTTTTCAAAAATTAGTAGTACACAAATTAGATAACGAAAATGTTTAGTTGTACACGACAGAAAAACCAACGACAATCAACATTGATTATGCAATTGGAGAGCCAGTGTTGCAAACTTTGCAAAACACAAATGCAATTTCTCTCACGTCTCCATGTTGTGCGATAACGAAAAAGTACGAGCTAACCCCCACCAGATCAATAGTAACAAAAACTTCATATGATTATATTCCGAGAGTAAACATAACGGCTAATATAAAACCATATCAAACAAGTAGAATACGGGAAAGTTTTTCAAATCTAACTAATTCGTATTATCCCGATTTTCACTCATTAGCAACAAACTCAAAACAGTTAGATTTATTATTACAGTCGAAAATAGATGATAGTATAGAGAATATGTAAGCGTATCTAAAGTAACGTAATAAGAATTAGGAATAGGAATAGGTATATTAGTGTTAATAGTTGTAATAAGTAGAATAAGTTTTAAATTGTACAAACAAAATACATTTTCAATGAGCTATATTAAAGCATTGGTCACTACAAAATCAGTAGATGACATACAGGGCGTAGATATTAATTAAATGTAAAATGTAAATTATATAATTGAGAGTGTCATTGCCTGTATATGTTCAACTCAATAAACTTTATAACTGAAAAGACGTGTGTTTGTTACTTTATTTAATAAATCTATATTAAAATTCTACAAGTACGAGGCTACGGTCAACCGACTTGTAACACACTTCTTAAAAATCTGTTCTGCTGGGCCAGTGTCATCAATTGTTGACAATGGTAGTGATGGTTCCTGGAGTAAACAATTGAGACATGGACATTGGACAATGTTCTTTAACAATTTGATACCGCTCGCTAGACGTTTTAGCGATGAACACTATTTGATTTTGTGTGTTTCCTTGCAAACTGGACATGATTCAGAACTTATTACCGTAGTGAAAACTCGTGAAGTTGTAGAGACAAGTGTATTTGATTTTTTTGTCTCTGTTTTTCCGTGTCTAGTTTTTGATGTGGAACTACTGTAACGTCTCCTCTTCACCTGGGGGTTGCCTCCCTTGGTGTAGTTCTGTTTATATTAACGAGGTCTCATAGACTCGACCTCGGTGTGTGACATTATTGCTAGGGATCAGGGTTACCTTATGTAAAACAAGTGCTCAAGTAT